GCCTGGGCTTAGGGCGTTCGGGCACGGCGCGCAGGGCGGGAGGCCCGAGCCCGTGCCGACGGGCCCTCGCGCCACGCGGGGTCTCGGCAGCGTCCTGCTGGGCGCTGGGGCCCGCTCGAGCATGCGGCGGCCGCAACTCAATCTGATACATGCGCCTCTCCCCTCCCTCTCCCTCTCTCTCTCTCTAACTTCTTTATGTCTGTCGTTGTCTCTCGCTCTCTCGCTCTCTCTCTCTCTCTCTCTGTCTGCTTTTTTATTTCTTTTTTTTTCTCTCTCTCTCTCTCTCTCTCTCTCCCCGCCCCCCTCTCTTTCTCCTTCTCCTTCTCTTTCTCTTTGTCTTTCTCTTTTTTTGGGGGGGAGTGGTTTTCTCTCTCTCTCTCTCTCTCTCTCTATATATATATATATATATCTATATCTCGCTCCACCGGCAACGTGTAAATGCGTGGGCTTCGAACCCGTACACTGTGAATGCGCCCGTGCGTCGTCGGAGTGATCTGCTGGTCACGCCCTGCGAGTCGAGCGCGGGGAGGCCACCACGTGGCCAGGCAGAGACTCCAGAGACTCCTCCTCCTCCCCTCCTCCCCCCCTCCCTCCCCAGGAGGAAGAGGAGGAGGAGGGAGAGGAGGAGGGAGAGGAGGAGGAGGAAGAGGAGGAGGGAGGGGGAGGGAGGAGGAGGAGGAGAGGGAGCAGGAGGAGGAGGAGGAAGAGGAGGAGGAAGAGGAGGAGGAGGGCATTCATTTGTGTGTCCCTGGGCCCCTTCACAGCCTGGTTGTTGTGGGGGGCGGCGAGGCTGCTCCGGCCTTCCCCGCCCTGCCGGCTGGCTGGGGCTGGCCTGTGGTTGACACTCCTCCTCCTCCTCCTCCTCCTCCTCCTCCTCCTCCTTCGATGCAGTTCTCCACAGGTTTTGAAACTGGTGCGCACTGGCTCCCAGGGGCTCGCACGGCAGCAGTTCGCTGGAGGAGCGGGAAGAGGCTGTGCCTCTCTTCGTGTGCTCCCTTCTGTCGGGGGCAGTCGTGGTGATCGACCTTCTGCTTGGTGGCATGCGTTTGGAGCAGCCCGTCCGCGTCGTCATGGTCCTCGATGGGATCATCTGGGATTCTCTGGTATTGGATGGGGTCGTCGGGGTCCTGGTGGTCCCCGACGCCGCGTTTGTCAGTTGTGGCTGGGTCAGATGCGCTGGTGTTGATCGCCGCCCTGATGCGTCCGCAGCCTGCGCCCCGTCGACAGGAGCGTCGAGCGCTCTCGTGCGATGGGCCCGGGTTGGCCCACGGCCACTGGAGGAGGAGGAGGAGGAGGAGGGTGGGAAAACACACGGACACCATGAATCGCCGATCATCGTGAACATGTGGACAAATGCGGGAAGTGTGGGGGGGGGGAAGACGAAGATCCAGAAGATATTCAGGAAGTATCGGGGGTCCTGGGATTTGTGTGTACCCAGACATCTGGCTGCTCCCGTTTTCTGGGGGGCGTGGACCCCAGAATTCCGGACCACCTCCCTGGAACCTGGTTTTTTTTTTTCGTGATTCGTAGGCGCGTCGACGTATATTTTTTCGACTCTCGAAAGATGCCTAGGACCTGAGCGAAAGCCTCCCTGAGTCCGAAAAGTGCCCAAATCCCCCAGCCATCTCTCAGTTTTTTGTTTGAGCGTCGGATCTCAGAAGGAGGAGTGTAGGAGAGGAAGATGTAGGAGGAGGTAGGAGTGGAGAGGAGGGAGGAGGAGGAGGGAGGAGAGGGAGCAGGAGGAGGAGGAGGAGGAGGAGGAGGAGGAAGAGGAGGAGGAAGAAGAGGAGGAGGGTATTCATTTGTGTGTCCCTGGGCCCCTTCACGGCTGGTTGTTGTGGGGGGCGGCGAGGTTGCTCCCGCCTGCGTCGCCCTGCCGGCTGGCTGGGGCTGGCCTGTGGTTGGGCGTGCCAGCGCTCCTCGTGGCCGCTGCCGGTCGCGTTGCAGTCGGCCCAGATTAGGACCCAGACATGTTCGCGTCGTAGAAAAATCGGGACGGGAGGTCTTTCGCCATTTTCGGCCTCCAGGGGCCCTCGCCGGGCCTCGGGACCGTCAAATAACGATTCAGGATGAGAAACCGGTCCCGGGGAGAGGGTCGGGACTTCTGGGGACCCCGTCCGGAAGAAAAAATCAGGACGTCACATGTCTGGGGAGGTCGACCCTGCCAAACAAAGGGTACCCTTCCCAGACATGCGACGTCCTGATTTTTTCAGGACGGCGTCACGGGAAGTCCAGACCCTTTCCCCAGGGCCGGTTTTTCGTCATGACTCCTTTTTTGACGGTCCCGAGGCCCGGCGAGGACCCCCCGGGGCCTAAAATAGCGAAAAACCTCCCGTCCTGATTTTTGAACGACGTCATCATGTCTGGGTTGTGTCCTGTGTCGCGATCCATGCTTCCTGCACTCCTGCGGCAGTGTGGCCCTCGGAAGGGCCTCGCGCCCTCTCGCGCCTCCTGCCCAATCGAGTCCGACTGCAGACCTCGGCCGCTCGGAGCAGGATCGGCGGCGGGCGAAGGGGGGGAGGAGGAGGAGGAGGAGGAGGAGGAGGAGGAGGAGGAGGAGGAGGAGGCGGAGGAGGAGGAGGAGGAGGTCCGAACTTCGAGGTTCGAGGTTCGAGGCGTTCTCTCCTGCCCTCTTCCCGGCGGCGCGCATGGGGGGAAATGAAAGGGGGGAGGGCCTTCTCCCCTGAGATCCGACGCTCCAACAAAAATTGGAGCAGGCAGATTTTGGCAGTTTTCGGCCTCGGGGGGCCCTCGCCGGGCCTCGGGAGCGCCAAAAAGGGACTCAGGACGAAAAACCGGTCCAGGGGAAGTGGTCCGGACCTCCTGGGTCCACGCCCCCAAAAAATTGGAGCAGCCGGATGTCTGGGTAGTTTTCGGCCTCTGGGGGCCGTTTTCGGGCCCCGGGACCCCCGAAACTCGGATGGACGCCGGGAGGGGTCTGGGGACTGCTTTTGACAGAGTTCCGGCGGCGCGCCCGGCGGGGAAGTGAGAAGGAGGAGGCCCTCTCAGAAGGCGGCGGAGCTTCTCAGGAGCCCTCCGGCCTTCTGAGAGGGCTTCTGCGTCTTCGGGGAAGGCTCAGAGCACTTCTCAGAACGCCCGGGGGGCCTCGGAGCCTTCTGACCCAGACATCCGGCTGCTCCGATTTTTTTGGTGCGTGGACCCAGGAGGTCCGGACCACTTCCCCTGGACCGGTTTTTCGTCCTGAGTCCTTTTTTGACGCTCCCGAGGCCCGGCGAGGGCCCCCGGAGGCCGAAAACTGCCAAAATCTGCCTGCTCCAATTTTTTTGGAGCGTCGGATCTCAGGGGAGAAGGCCCTCCCCCCTTTCATTTCCCCCCATGCGCGCCGCCGGGAAGAGGAGCAGGAGGAGGCTGGAGAGAGGGTAGGGAAGGCCGGGAGGCCCCCTCACCATGCACGTCGTGTCAGACGGGGTCTTGTGCCGCGCTGCTGCCGCTGCTTTTTCTTCACCCTACGCTGCATGGCGATGGTTGCCGCGAAGAGGCTGGAGAGGGACGAGACGTGGACTCTGAGACTGGAGGAGGAGGAGGAGGAGGAGGAGGGTAGGAATGTAGGATGAGGAGGAATAGAGGAGGAGGAGGAGGAGGAAGAGCCCTTGCTAAGGTTTCGAAGCGTCCGCCCCAGGGGCCGTTGCCGCAGATGCTTCCCGCCCCCCCGCCGTTGCACGGAGAGTTTCGCCCCATGCGCAAGAGAACGAGAGACACGACGAAAGGCAGCAGGACCGCGGCATTGTGTTCTACACGCGTGGGGGCGCCTTCTAGAGAGTGTTTGTTTGCCTCGCCTTCGCCCCCCACTGACACCTCCTCCTCCCTCCTCCTACCTCCTCCTCCTCCTCCTCCTCCTCCTCCTCCACCTCCCCCTCCTCCTCCTCCTCCTTCCCCTCCTCCTTCTCCTCGTGTCCTCCTCCTCCTCCTCCTCTCCTCCTCCTCCTCTCTCCCTCCTCCTCCTTCCCCTCGTGTCCTCCTCCTCCTCGTGTCCTTCTCCTCCTCCTCGTGTCCTCCTCCTCCTCCTCGTGTCCTCCTCCTCCTCCTCCTCCTCCTCCTCCTCTTCCTCCTTCTCCCGCTGCAGCAGAGGCATGGGGGGTGCACGAACGGTTCTCGTCCTGCCCTTTGGATTTCCTGGCGTTGCATGTGCTGCTGACGCCCCATCTGTGTTCATCTCTTGCGCGGCGCCATGTCCATCCTTGCGGTCGCTGCACTTGCTCTGGCGATCTGCCTGGAACGAGATGGCCTGCCATCGGAGTTCCGCGGAACGCGCCGCGAGAGCGTCGCCTTGCGCGCTTCGTCCGCGTCCTTCCGCCCTCCACCTCCCCAATCCTCGTCCGTCCTCATCCCCATCCTGGGATGTACATGTTGATCAGATGTGCATTCTGTCTTTACCCTGGCGTCCCGAGGTCCCCCAAGGAGTCGCAATTCGATCACGGAGCGGCCATCATTTGGCACGCTGAGGCTTTTGGGAGCCAGAAAAGATGACTCCTTCTTGCTCCCCGCCCCTCTCCCTCCCCTCGTCCCCCCACCTCACTCTCCAACCCCCTCTCCCTCTTACTCCCCGGCCCTCTCCCTCTCCCACCCCTCTCCTCTCCTCACTCCCCGCCCCAACCCCTCCCCCTCTCCCGCCCCTCCCCGCCCCACCCCCCTCCCCCTCTCGCTCCCCGGTCCTCTCCCTCTCCCGCCCCTCGCCCTGCTCTCCTCTTTCCCCCCCTCCCCACCCAGGCCCCCGACGTCGTGATTTTTTCACAACGTCGACCCCCAGAGGTCTGGACCCCTTCCCCGGGACCAGTTTCTCATCCCGAGTCCTTTTTTGACGGCCCCGAGGCCCGGGGAGGGCCCCCGGAGGCCGAAAATAGCGCAAAACCTCCCGTCGTGATTTTTTCACGACGCCAGGAGGTCTGGGAACCCCTCTCCCTCTCTCTCCCCCTCCCCTCTCCCTCCCCTCTCCTCCTCCTCTCCCTCCCCTCGACCGCGCGCGCCGCGGGGGCCCGGAGGACCACGGCTTCCCGCAGCCCCGGCACGAGCCGCCGCTGGCCCACGGTGGCGGGGGCGGCCTTCCTTCGAGCAGCGAAGGGCGAGGTGGAGGGGCGAAGAGGAGGAGGAGGAGGAGGAGGAGGAGCACGAGGAGGAGAAGAGGAGGAGGAGGAGGGGAGGAGCAACAGAGAAGGAGCAGGGTGTGAGGTGGAGAGGAAGAGGAGGAGGAGGAGGAGGAGGAGTGCAGGAGGAGGCGGAGTAGGGGGGGGTTAGGAGGAGGATTGGGTAGGAGGATTAAGGAGGGAGAAAGAGGAGGAGGATGAGGATGGAAGGGCGGAGGAGGGCGGAGGAGGGCGGAGGAGGGCGGATGAGGAGGAGGAGGAGGAGGATGAAGGAAGAGGAGAGGAGGATGAGGATGAGGAGAGATGAGGAGGAGGGAGGAAGGAGGAGGAGGAGGAGGAGGAGGAGGAGGAGGAGGAGGAGGAGGAGTAGTACTAGAGCAGGAGGCTCAGAGGGAGGCCACGAGGAGGGAGGTGGGAGGCCCTCGCCACGGCGCGGCGCCCCTGAACGCCGCGAGCCCGGGGCGGAGCGGTCGTTGGAGCGGGCCCGCCGGGCCGAGCTCGGCATTCGAGCGCTCGGCGCGACAAGCGCTGGCGGCCCCCCACTCGGCAACCGCTGCGCCCGACGGCGGCGCGGAAGGCGGCGCGAGGTGGTGGCGCGCGCACCACCGCAGCCAGGCGCCGCTGGCGGGCAGGACGCGGGCGCCCTCTCCGGTGGCCCCCCCTCCTTCCCCTTTCCCCCCTCCTCCTCCCCCCCTCCTCCTCCTCCTCCTCCTCCTCCTCCTCCTCCTCCTCCTCCTCCTCTCCTCCTCCCCCTCCCCCTCCTCGGCCCCCTCCTCCCCCATCCCCCTCCTCCCCCTCCTCCCCCTCCCCCTCCCCCTCCTCCTCCTCCTCCTCCTCCTCCGCCTCCTCCTCCTCCTTCTCAATTCCCCCCCTCGCTCGTCGCCGAGGCCTGCCCCCGATGGCGTGAGGCCGGACGATTGTTGGGCAGGGTGGGGCCCCCCCAGAGCTCGCACGCGCCGCGGGGGGCGTGGCCCCGGGGGGGACGGCGCTCCGCGGCCGGCTCTGCCTGCTGCGCCCGCAGTGCCTCCGCCCCGTGCCCGCGACTGCCGCTGCGGCGTGCCAGGCCCAATCGGCGGGCGGGGCCCCCTTGCCCTAAGTCGGGCGTGCCCTCTACAGGGAGATTTTCGACGAAAAGTAAAGAATATATTCAAACTATCCCGGCAAAGCAACCGAACAGCGATGTGTAGAAGCACAGCTGGAAACCTTGCCTGTGGTATTCATGTAAGAGCGCTGTTGTAGAATTCTGGTGTTCTCGCAGTCGCATTCGGATTCGCAGTGGCAGTCGCAGTGGCAACATCAGCGGCAGTCGCAGTGGCACTGCCAGTAGTTGCAGTAGCAATAGCTACACTAGCAGCAGCAACAGCAGCAGCAGCAGCAGTAATAGTAACAGTAGTAGTAGCAGTAGAAGTAGTAGTGATGGTAGCAGTAGTAACAGTGAAGTAGTAGTTCCTTTGAAAGGAAATCTTCGAAAGCAGGGCTCTAGCCAAGAAGGCTACGGGGACGATATGGGACGATGATGATGATGATGATGATGATGAAGATGATGAGTTTTGGAAGTCTGGGAAGTGGAAGAGCACGAAGTGGCGTACAGTTGGCTCCGGGCATTCAAAATGTGGCCCGGGAGTGGAGTTCTGGGAAGTGGAAGAGCACGAAGTGGCCTACAGTTGGCTCCGGGCATCTGGCCCGGGAATGGTGTTCTGGGAAGTCCAAGAGCACGAAGTGGCCTACAGTTGGCTCCGGGCATCCAAAATGTGGCCTGGGAATGGAGTTCTGGGAAGTCGAAGAGCACGAAGTGGCCTACAGTTGGTTCCGGGCATCCAAAATGTGGCCCGGGAGTGGAGTTCTGGGAAGTCGAAGAGCACGAAGTGGCCTACAGTTGGCTCCGGACATTCAAAGCGTGGCCCGGGAATGGAGTTCTGGGAGGTCGAAGAGCACGAAGTGTGTGACTGTTTGCTTAAAACGAGCCCGGCCCTGAACCCGTCCCTCGCTGTCCGGATGCTGCCCAGACTTCCCTTCTGAGTCATCAGATGTTCTCTTTTGACACCACTAGAAACCTATCTGTCTTCGCTGTTAGGTAAAAATATTCCCAAATGGTCAAGCAATAGTTTGGAAATATCAAAAGTAGTCCCCATACTATTTGTTTGATTATTACCTAACAGCGAAGACTGATAGGTTTTCTAGTGGTCTCAAAAGAGAGAGAGAGAGAGAGAGAGAGAGAGAACATCATGACTCCCCAGGGGGGTCTGGGCAGATGCCGGACGGGTGCCAGACGGGTGCCGCGGGAATCTGGGGACTCCCCATTTTCATTGCCAGGAGCCACATTTTGACTGCCCGGAGCCAACAGAACACCATTCCCAGGCCACATTTTGAATGCCCGGAGCCAACTGTAGGCCACTTCGCGTTCTTCGTGCTCCCAAAACACCATTCCCAGGCCACATTTTGGATGCCCGGAGCCAACTGTAGGCCGCTTCGTGTTTTTCGCTTTCCGAGAACACCACTCCCAGGCCACATTTTGAATGCCCGGAGCCAGCTGTAGGCCACTTCGTGTTCTTCGCGTTGCCAGAACACTATTCCCAGGCCACATTCTGAATGCCCGGAGCCAACTGTAGGCCACTTCGTGTTCTTCGTCTTCCCAGAACACAATTCCTGTATTATATTTTGATTGCCCGGAGCCAACTGTGGGCCATTGTGTGATCTTCGTGTTCCCAGAACACCAGTTCTGTGCCATATTTTAAATGCCCGAGCTGAGGCAGGCTGAGGCCGAGGCAGGCTGAGGCTGAGGCAGGCTGAGGCTGAGGCTGAGGCAGGCTGAGGCTGAGGCCGGCTGAGGCTGAGGCTGAGGCCGAGGCAGGCTGAGGCTGAGGCTAGGCCTGGGCGGGCTGAGGATGAGGCAGCTGAGACTGAGGCTGAGGCTGAGGCTGAGGCTGAGGCTGAGGCAAGCTGCGGTTGAGGCAGGCTGAGGCTGAGGCGGATGCAGGCTGAGGCTGAGGCTGAGGATGAGGCTGAGGCAGGCTGAGGCTGAGGCTGAGGCCGAGGCAGGCTGAGGCTGAGGCCGATGCAAGCCGAGGCAGGCTGAGGCTGAGGCTGAGGCTGATGCTGAGGCAGGCTGAGGCTGAGACAGGCTGAGGCTGAGGCTGAGGCAGGCTGAGGCTGAGGCAGGCTGAGGTAAAGTCCGAGGCAGGCTCAGGCCGAGACAGGCTGAGGCTGAGACTGAGGCTGAGGCTGAGGATGAGGCCGAGGCAGGCCGAAGCTGAGACAAGGTGAGGCTGAATGGGGGGGGGAGGGGGGGGGGGAGGAGGGGAGGCTGAGGCAGGCTGAGGCTGAGGCAGGCTGAGGCTGAGGCTGACACAGGCTGAGGCCGAGGCAGGCTGAGGCTGAGGCCGAGGCAGGCTGAGGCTGAGGCCGAGGCAGGCTGAGGCTGACGCTGAGGCTGAGGCCGAGGCAGGCTGAGGCTGAGGCTGAAACTGAGGCAGGCTGAGGCATCCGTATGAATCCATAGGAATCGTTAGGAATCCACAGGAATCCTTAGGAATCCGTAGGCATCCTTAGGAATCCGTAGGCATAGTTAAGCATCCTCAGGAATCCTTAGGAATCCTTAGGGCTCCCTAGGAATCCTTAGGAATCCCTATGAATCCCTAGGAATCAGGATTCCTAAGGATTCCTATGGATTCCTAAGGATGCCTAAGGATGCCTTAGGAATCCCTAGGAATCCTTAGGATATTCCATTGGATCCTAAGGCCGTTGCCACTGCGACTGTCATTGCGAATGCGCCTGCGACTGCGAGAACAGCAGAATTCTACAACTGGAGTCTCACCTGAATCTTAAGGGGAATGCTTCCAGATATGCTTATACACATCGCTGTTAGGTTGCTTTGCCGGGATAATGTTTTGCTTATTTTGGGTATTACCTAACAAGAAGATTGATAGGTTTCTACTGGTGTCAAAAGAGAGCATCTTGACTCCCCAGGGGGGTCTGGGCGGGTGCCGGGGAAAACCGCGGGCGGGCGTTTCGCTTGAGACTTCCTTACATTTTATGCTGGAATCGTGCTCTCGCCTAGGCATGGGCCACATTTTGTTTCAGAATCGCGCTCCGTCAGCCTGACACTTTCCCTTACATTTACTGCTGAATCGTGCTCTCGCCAAGGCCCCTGCCCATTTTGGCTTCAAAATCGCAGCAGGCTGATGCTGAGGCAGGCTGAGGCCGGGCTGATGCAGTCTGAGGCTGAGGCAGGCTTGAGGCCGCAGGACCTGTTGCGGTAACGCAGCAACTGAGGCTGAGGCAAAGCTGAAGCTGATTGCAGGCTTGGGGCTGAGGCAGGCTGAGGCTGAGGCAGTCTTGAGGCGGAGCGGCTGAGGCCGCAGTACTATGTGGGAGCTGCAGCAGGCTGAAGGCTGAGGCAGGCTGAGGCCGCAGGACTATTCGGGAGCGCACGCAGGCTGAGGCTGAGGCTGAGGCTGAGGCTGAGGCTGATGGAGGCTGAGGCTGAGGCAGGCTGAGGCCGCAGGACAATGCGGGAGCGCAGCAGGCTGAGGCTGAGGCAGGCTGAGGCTGAGGCTGAGGCTGATGCAGGCTGAGGCTGAGGCAGGCTGAGGCCGCAGAACTATGCGGGAGCGCAGCCGGTTGAGGCTAAGGCAGGCTGATGCTGAGGCAGGCTGAGGCTGATGCAGGCTGGGCTGAGGCAGGCTGAGGCCGCAGGAACATGTGTGAGCGCAGCAGCTTAGGCTGAAAGGCAGGCGTGAGGCCGCAGGACTATTGCGGGAGCGCAGCACGCTTAGGCTGAGGCAGGCTGAGGCGGAGGCTGAGGCTAATCGCAGGCTTGAGCTGCGGCGCAAAGGCCGCAGGACTATGCGGGAGCGCAGCAGGCTGAGGCTGAGGCAGGCTGAGGCTGAGGCTGAGGCTGAGGCTGAGGCTGATGGAGGCTGAGGCTGAGGCAGGCTGAGGCCG